CTGAAAAGACCAAATCAATGAAATCCGTTCGACTGATCATCAGAACACGAAACGCTCAGTGAAAGAACAACTTTATATCACAAAATTAAATTCTTGGAGCAAATACATCATCACCCAGCGGAAGTTTTAAAATTGAAGCAGCAGAATTCATTGATGTTATTCACAAAATCAAACTCGGCCGAGATCTACTTGAATACTCTTGTCTAATTGTCTAATTGTCTAATTGTCAAATTTATACAATCCCATAAACAAAATATTTTGAGAACATTCCCCCTTCCTGCAATTGTAAAATAATAATTACGATGACTATAATAATTATTATATTGAATTGATGTGGAATTCTTCACCAGTTTAGTCGTCAGGATAAATATCCCTCTAAATAATTGCCCGTGCAGGAATTGGGAGTAAGGGAATTGACCTCTGGCCATTTAATTACCTCAATAATCAAAGAATCTGAAACTCGCAATATCTACGCCTCCGCAATCATCAGCATCCAATTAACCTACGAAAATGAATTATCGATCCCTCGCCTACACAACTCCTCACCCTCAATTCATACCGACAATACTGGATATTCACTCACTCTCTCCGGGTAATTTCAAACAATATTCATTATTTCCACAGTGCAACACATTTGAATTAATTCCATATATTTACACAAATTCAATGAACCGCTCGAAACGTAATATTTCTTGCACAGACCTTTTCAGGTCATAAAAACCTCCGTTAACCATGTAATTGCGTTTCTAAATGAGTCCTGGAAATTCACCAATAATTAATGTAGACTATTTGCGGAAAAATATTAATTTCTACCGACGAAATTGGCTATTTCAGGAATTCATTTCTCACGGGTCAGTGCAAGTATTTCTGCTTTTCAATCAGCGAATTTCAATCAGTAATTTCAATCAGTTTTTTGAGCTTTCAATCAGTTAATTATTGTTGTAAATAATTTAAGTGTCGAAACCGGGAATTAAAGATTATTTACAATCTTTTATTTATATTAAACGTATCTCCAATTTGTTTATCAATTTCAAGTAGTCCGTGCAATTTATATGAATCGGAGTGAAAATTACATCACTGAGTTAAAATGACAATTCTTTCACAATTACCACTCAACGTCCGGTAATTTCTCGACACTCACTTGAAATTTTGATGTATTATTTTTGAAGACCTAGACTATGGAGGTATGCACAAAATTTTTTTTTTACCTTTCACGTTAGATCTGCTTGTTAACGATCGCTTCCTCGAAATTTCAAGCGTAATTTTCTAAAAGTTTGCTTTTACCCTCTAGAACGGAATATCGCGGAGAACTTCATGGGCCCTGAATGCCGGGCAAATCTCTTTCCAATACGCATCGGAGGGTGAATTAAATTTCATCATCCACGAGAATATTTCGAGTACGTAGTCTTGGAAACAGCCGGGTAAATCTCACCCTCCGATAGACTGCGCTCTCACCCACGCAAAATCCGTATACAAACTTGGATGATATATCCCTAAACATAGTACAGAGATCGTCTGCTCCAGGCAGAGGTAAAAGGTAAAGATATAAAAAAATAAGGAAGAAAAAGGTACGTGAGGTTCACTTAAGTAACTCCGACGGTGATGCGTTGGAATATGGCCTACATCGGCTGGAGTTTATTCAAAACTACTGGGGGTGAGGAAAAGTATTGGCAAATCTCGACTCCTCTCCCTGCAACTGGGGGGAAATGGTAAATGGGGTAGGATGAATTTATGTGTTCAGTGACAAGGGAATTTTATTGAATGCATGTGACAAGTGTCTCTTGCACGGTAGTTTTCAAGGCATTCTGCTCGCAAAATATCACATACACGGAATTTTCTCACATTAAAAAATTACTCTACCGATTAAATTCGGGAATATTTTCAATGTGTGGATTTTTATGTAATTTATTAATTATTAAATCCACACATTTAAATCATAAATATTGCTTACTGGCAAGTCAATGGATTTATTACCAGAATTTTTCATCTCATGAGAGTAATTTCTTTAATTTACTTTCTATTTTATATGAATGTTTACTGGTAAATTGCATCGACTTTTTTTAATGGAAAATTTTATGAGTTATTGTTTCTCAAATGATATTACGTCGTTTGTGGATTAATTCTTGAAATTCATGAAGAATTTCTCATTTTTCGGTTAATGCCGTCAAAAAATTATGCAGAAATTAAAGGAAAATCGGGTTTAATCGTTTTAATTGCTCTGCGGGCGAATGCTGCGAATGGTTACGAAGTTAGTAGTGCTGACTTGCGTCGGCAGAGTATTTAGAATAATTTTGGAATTATTCAGCTGACCTTTGAAAAGATCGCGCGAATGAGAAACTCGAAGTTTTCGGTACAATTGTATTGTGAGGCGCCGGTTGGTTCTACGTAATTGCAGAACATTCTTAATGCAATTCCAGAGAGTTTATTTGAGTCTCCACCCTCAGATTTTACTGTACATTATTCAATTGTTGAGCTATCCCCGACAGAAAGCAATTTCACTCCAATAACAGAGGATTCGTGAATTTTCATTCAAGATCGTTAAAGGTGTACACCAAGATTTATCCGAATATTAAAATTTTTTAGACATTTTAGTTATAACTTTATCTGATTTTCCAGTACCAATACCCGAGAGTAATGACTATAGTTCTTCAAAATCATTGAATATTTATTAGACTATGAATAAAAAATTCTAGAAAAGAGAAAAGAAAACATTAACTAACTCGTCAATGAAAAATTCCCCAGACATATCAAGTCCGCTTGTCCTTGTTGAAAATGTCAAGTCCTTTACTCGAAATTTCCATAATAATTTTCCAACAGCGCAACCCGATGAAATCAATACTTTTCATTGTGTCAATTGACCACACGATATAATGAACAATATAATCTGGATTTTAGTAAATTTTCTTCTCAATGTCTTTGAACTCTACCCGTTGTTCCAAGGCTTCGGATAATTCGATAATCTCCAAAGTCAACCAATATCAAAACCCATGAGGCAAGCAAGTGTGTGATCCAGCTTACTCAGGTCTCCTTAGGACCCACTGTGCGGCCTAAAACGCCTCAAGCCACATCTTGAACGCCGAAATACCCTACGCTGCATTAAGACCGCATTTGCATCGGCAGATTGATAGCCCAGAAAGTGAACACGAAGATAGACTTAATGAAGAACCCACACTTTACGATCCTCACCGATCGATGGCCATCACTTTCCAAAAACTACCGACCGAGTGAATTATTTTTATTAAGATATTTTGATGATTAAATGATAAGTCTGAATGATGTGACCTAGCATTCATGTCCATTGCGAGTAAAGTTGAAAATCATGAAATCGTCGGAGTGCAGGAGAAAATTGAAATAAACTCGATCGAGATGACTTGTGCACTACTGGGTAATCTGTAATAAGCTTATGGATTGCAGTGGGAAGCCCCTGATATATTTTTCCTGGATGGTAGAGCCTAACGCCTCCAGTGAAAAGGTCGACATCAGTGGTAGAATAGCTTGGGTGGAACGTCGAGGTGAGTTCCATTCCCTTCAACGTGTTGTCACTCTATCATGCTTTAAATTAAAACCTGGTATCACCGCAATGTGAGTATATTACGACTGAATTAGAGAGAACTGACGTTCTAATTCGCAACCTGTGGCTTTGGTTGGACGGACAGTGTCAGTGGTGCACCTAGTTTCGGTGGTTTTCGACCCAGTCTCCACGTCGCTCGAGTTCAAATGGAGAATGATGAAGGACAAAGTTGGCTAGTGGCAGATAGAGTGGAGAAGCTCTTGAGTGTCTGCTCCCTCGTGATAACGTTCTCCATTTCCAGACCCTTTTACACCACCCACATCTACCTCTCTTACTGAATATCTCAAAGATTCGATGATAACTCCCCTTTCTTCGCTTTGATGAATAAAAAATACACCCTCATAACACTTTTGGAATATTCCACTATAGCAAATTCAAGTGAAAAAACTTTTGAATTTTTTACGATTAAGTAACGCTGTATTTCTGGAGAATTTTTTTTATTGAATCGGTTAATTTAGGGGATTCAAGTTATCGGCAATTTTATGTTTTTTTATTGATGTTTTTGAAATTTTAAAAATATTGAGAATTCAGATAATAATTTTTCTGAGTTTTTAATCAATCGGAAAATAATCAATAATTGATGCTCTATTTTTGAAATCAGTCCGAAAATTCATGTTATCAAATCTATTCCTGGAAATCGTGAAAAATAAAAAAGAATCGTGGAGTACATTAAAATATGGCTTCCATGAAAATTATTTTCTATATGTTCCATGAAATTAAAAAAAAAACAACAACGCAGAACTGAGAATTGAGGAAATCGAAACGAAATTTCAGGACATCTTATCACTGAATATTCGGAATTCTGTGGAAAAATCAAAGATAAGTGTAAATCTCCGTTCCACTTTTCCCGGGAAATGAACAGTAAGCCGAGGAAGTCCGGTAAGAATATTCTTGAATGTTGCTAGAATTTCAGAGAGAAAGACTGATAAAAGTGTCGCTTTTCTGAAAATTCAAATAAATTGAAGAACCTCGTCTTCAAATCCGGTTTTAAAATTCCGTTGAATTCCGAGTGAAACTCGGAAAATCTCTCGCTTTCATTCCCGGAAATCAACCGCCCACGAAATTTAATGTTTTATTCTAAGATGGTTGGAGTAAAAAGTCCCATTCTCCCAAGGAAAAATCACTCGATCTTAACGAGAACTGAATTATCTTGCAGGGTATCATGACAAGATGAAGAAAAAGGGCAGACAGGACAAGCAGGAATTGGAGACAAAGGAGAAGAAGGTGGACGATGTTAATGACGATGATGAGCATAATCAGGGCTTCAGTGATTGGTTGCGATCGGTGGATGGCATTGAAATGATGAGGCTGTTCGTAATAGCCAATTCACTCCTCGTCTTCATAACAATAGCCTGGCCAAATATGCAGCAGACATACACCATCATCAAGGAGTACATAATGGGAGAGGATGACGAGTGATTTCTCAATTACAGAAGCTATTATTTTTTCTTTTTTTTTCAAAAAAAGTATCGAATTAGTGTTACTGAAATTGAAACGCTTCAGAGACGATTAAAAAAGTGTTTACCCTCGATATTAAGTTTACCTCTTCGTTTCAGTTGATTCTAGAAGGGAGGTATTGATTTTCGAAGCACTCTGTGATAATCGCGTTATTTCAAGACGTAACTGAAGGCAAACGGATAAGCTTCTGGCATTCAAGTACTTGTTTTTGGAAAAAAGAAGCGATTCGTTGGATTCGCGATGCTTGCTTTTGCACTTCGTGGAATTGTCCTCGTGGCTGTACTCAGTTGGTACAGTACCAGTATATGGAAGATGATCGACGGCTACTTCAAGAACAGATTCGACAAGTACTTGAAAGAGGAATTTGAGAAGAATCCGAGAATGAGGGCGGATATGGCGCAGAAAGTGCCTCCGGTGGAAGTTCATACTCCCCAGGAGTTTTTGGATTCCTGTCAACTCGATTCGTGTCCGGTCGATAAGGCAGTGGCACTTGAGGGAGATAAAATTTCATCGATATCACCTTCAATATTGGAGGAAAACGTGTCGAATGTCGCGGATGATAATCTCAGGATGGAGGAGAGTAAAGAGGAAAGCGATAGGAGTGCATACCGCGGTGAGAATCACTTCCGCAAATATAATTATTTATGCGAATAATTATATGATGTATACACGACATACAGCATTTTTAAACGCAGCTGTATACATCAGATATATATCATATATTATATATATATTTATACGTGCTTATGTATAAGTGTGCATAATTTATATATATTTCGCGTATATCCTAGACTTTCGTTGTAGTCACGCGCATGGGGCTGGAGGGGAAGCGAATTTGGGGAATCCGACTATATGTGACTACCCCCACCACACGCTCGCGGCCACGGTGAACTAATTTTTTTTCGGACGAAACAACGGATTGTAGTAGTAGTAGAATGGGGAAACCGAAGGACACGCGAAAAACGAAATTGAGGAGACGTGCGACTATAACGGGATCCTACTCACTTAATCCTAAATCGCTTTTCGCACGGGATTGGTCTTCAGATATTTGTCTGAAATAACGTAACTTAGTGTCAAGAATCCCTAGAAATTTGGGATTTATCCCCGAAAATTCCGAATTAATTTGAGAGAATAAGATTTTTTTTCTCTGTGTGCAGTGTCTTCAGGTGCGAAGCGTGAGAAATCGAGAAAAATTATTTTGCAGAGTCAGGAGTCACCGAAGGGCAAGCGGAAAAAAGTCAAAACAATAACGCTGACAGAGAAGGACTTTGAAGAGGTCAAGAAGAAAATGGCCATTGAGGATGACGACTTCACCGAGTTTGAGGATGAAGAAACACCTGAGGGTATTCTTGTATCGAAACTGGGCTTCAAGCCAAAAGCGGATATTGGGAATCTTGATAGAGTTACTGAGGACGAATTTTGTCCTATCAGTTTGGAGTACGAGGGTGACTGCAGTGAAACCAAAACGTGGCCATAAATCGATGGCCTTTCAGTCTTCAATCTAATTTCGTGTGGATGAATAATGAAGTGGATGAGTCAGAATTTGTTATTCTCAGTGCGAGTGCTTTTGTGAGGTAAATGCTGATGGGTATTGGAAAAAAAAATTTACACAAGTTGTAACTGTACGAATGGCTCACGGAAACTTCCGGCGGAAGCAATCGATGTCACACGCTTGCTAGCTCTTCAATCTTGAAAAGATGTCTTTTATCTCGTGATGAACGAGGGTTTGCTATTTGTCGGGATAATCATACTCGCCTTTTCCTGCTGTTCAATGGAAATTACTATTTTAACAAAGGGAATTTTATTGTCAGTTCGTTATATGAATTAGCACGAGAAAATTGAAGCTTTGAAATTGAAAATTCTGAAGAATTCCAGCATTTTTGCAGCAATTACCACTATAAACACGGGAATTCTTTAATTTATTTGATTTTTTTATTTAATATGAATATTTGATGTGAATTGGCGCCGAAGTGTATTAAATTCTCAAAAAAACCTGAAATTTAATCATTTCTCCAATAAAAATCAATTTGATATAAAAAAAATCATACAAAAATTACGATGAAATTATTTGGAAAAACTTCATTGTTTGTAATTAATTCAATTTGTTAATAATCCTATTATCGATGAATAAATGCTATGAAAAAACTTCGAATGGGAATCGGCATTTGAGTTTCAGGCGGAATCAGTCAGAAATTTCCCAGATCATTTGATTTATCTGTAATTGTTTTCAATGTTTACTGGAGAATTAAAAAATTAAAAAAATTAAAACACTTTGTGTCGCTATTCCACTGGAATGACCGGTCTCTCGTACGATATTTTTAATTACCGATAATTATTGTCAATCGTCTTATCAATGAATGAATAATATGTCTCGTAAGAATATCAAGAATAATTAGTGGAAAAAATAGAGTGACGTCATTGTACGTGCAAGCATTGGCAAAAATGAATTGAGTATCTCCTGTTTTTGATTAAAAACCGGATTCTTTCATGACCGAACCGCGCATTCATTACGCACTGAGTATGAGTTCCAGCTTCAAAACATAATAAAGAACACTCATTTTTCTTGTTGTATTAACATTGAAAGCACTTCCCACCGGATAAATATGCGATGCGAGTACACAAAGACCAAAAATGGATTAGCCTTGCAGGTGCTACTGAATAAGAATAACCGATTAATCGCAGTCAATGTCAAATGCTAATTATCGTACATCAACCGAGAATTGTTCATCATAAGAAGAGAAAAATTTGGAGAATTCATGACGGTCGTGCCAAGGACAATCTGCGACCACATTTTTTCACGATTTCCATGGGTTCTAACGATTTCATGAACCAGAAATCAAGACTTTGAAATTTATTCAGGAAAAAAATGTACCAAACATATTTTTCTAAAATTTGTATTTTTCAAATGACTTTAGGATTGAAATTTTAAGGAATTTCTAACGGCCCATCTCGAAATTCTTTTGATAAAAAAATAATGAACGAATTGGGTATTAATTTTTAAAATACTTTCTCTGATTAACGGATGGAAATCGTTGGGAATTTCGGAATTGAAGAAGAGCAATTTATCCATTATTTTATAAAGGTTCTTCCAATCGTGAATTCTCCATTTTTTTAGATGTTTCAAATCCTTTCTAACGGTAGACATTGGAGAATCTGAGAGGAGGGCACTTTGCGCCCCTGTTCCCAGGCTAGCACTAAAATTTTTCTAGAGAATTTCTCTCCATGTAATTCAAGTTTCCTCGATTGAGCATCAGTTTTTAAAAAATCGTAGTTACATATTTTTTTTAAACAAATTGCCTCAAAAATTTATATTCTTTCTCCCTAATTTAATGTTACCGAATATAAACTAAAAAACAATTGTGAAAAATGTATCTAGATTTTGTTACTCAAAATTCAATTCTATTTCTGGTTTCTACAACAGTAACGATGATTAGAAATAATGAAAGTTCCCTAAATTGAATTTTCTTAATTTCCTTTCTTAAACAATTCGACCTTGAATGGAATTGAAATAAAAAACTCCCGATAATGTGCAAATATTTATTAAGAATATTGCAGAGCTCATGAAGGTCGTGCCAACAACAATCCACAACCACTTGTGAATATGCATCGAGAGTAATAATTATTCGTACCAATAAGTAGATATATTCATCTGCGCAAAAAAAGTGAGAAAAGAATTTAGATGGGAATATCGCGAAGAGATAGGCATTCTGGACTCAAGTATATTTACATGGCAGATTTTCTGCTTGTATGCTACACTGAATCGAATCAAAATATTGCTTTCTTGTTTGCCATCCTGGCGCTAATATAAGAAATTTGTTTTCCTCCGTTTTGTGTGGTCTACAACTGAGAGGTTTTGGAGCCGTAGAAGGCAGTCAATTCCATCGTATGAATCGTATTTTTCTATTTTTAACCAAATCCGAAATAATCCACTGAAAATTTACCCAATCCACCCGTTCTTGGATTGTCTTGTTTATGAGCGAATTCGTTCATTCATTTTAATTACCAAAATTTTCATAATCCTTATTTTTGCACATCTCCTACATCCAATGGAGCAGCAGAGTATGAAATTTTCTGGTAATTATATGAGGATTAACTAAGAAATTATAAAATAAAATCCATGATAATGTCCACAATATAATTTTATCGCTGATATCTACAATATCTGGATGAAATAAAATTTCCCCTTACGAACATTTCTTTTGAACTGTACACAAACACTTGTCTCAGCAATTTGTTGATGTAAGTCATCGATAACTACCCACAAACCTCGTGTTCACCTCGTTATGCAAAAACTTGTTGCACATCGCACTTGACACCGTTACATCTGCACATTCGAGTCAGTCTGCTCCACATTAAAACGGTTGCTCACATTCGTCATGTCATTGCAACAGAAAAAAATTGCCTCAATCGCCTCGAGCAAAGCCTACAAAACCTTGAAAAATCACGGTCGACCGATGAAAACCGAATTCCAGGTCACTATTTCCTCAACAACTTCCTAGATCTCTAATTAGAGCCTCAAGACTACGTACTTCATAATTGATTTACACATCTCCGCCTTAATGATCTTTATCAAAAATGGCAAGTACTCATAGAAGAAATTATTTCAAACTCAACGA